TTCCATTAGTTTTTCAAATTGGTATGTTTCGCCGGGCCGCGAAGAAATATAGAGCTGAGTATCATCAGCATAACAGTGAAAGCTAACACCATGTTTCCTGATGATATCTCCCAAGGGTAACATGTAAAGTGTGAAAACTAACAGCCCTAGTACTGAGCCTTCAGGTACTCCATACTGCACTTGTGATCGATATGATACCTCTTCATTCACTGCTTTACTTACCGTGTTTGAAGAATGATTCTGACTTACCACTGTTGTTTGATGAACTCGTGAAAAAACGGAGCGAGAGAGAAAAGAAACTGAGCGAGAGAAAAAAAAAGACAACAGCAATAAACGCGAATGGAAACACGAATGACAAGCTAACTGCTAACGAATGCTGAATGAATGAAACGGAAAGGGTTATAGTACTGAGTTTAATTTAATTTGATGTTAAAATATGTTCTTTAATCTCAGTACTGTTTGTTTATGGGCAGGTTTTGGAGTCAGTTACTTAATCTTTCAGCTAAGTTACGAGTGAAACGCAAGGCCGCGCTAAGTTTGCAGCTCCCCCGGCAAACAGCAGCCCTTCTCCGGATCAGATTTCATCAACGCACCGGCACGAGAATTAGCACCATTTCAGTAAAAAGCGATTACAGAGAACGGTTGAATATACTAAAATTAAAATGCTACTTTTAAATGTAAAACATTTTACGTCTAAAATGTTTGTTAAACGAGTTGAAATTAATGTAATATTGTAAACTATGCTGTATTCACCCAAATAAATTAAATATGTCCTGTATTTTGACCATGTGTTCTTGCTTAATAATAAATGTTCATATTTTGATTATTGCTGTTGCCTCTAGTAATTTTGTTTTTACAGTCCAATTTAAGCCAGCAATATAATATTTTTTAAACAATAGTTTACTTAAATAAAATAACCCAGCATGTTTGGAAAAAACATCTAACCCTACCAGCTGGGTCAAAATAACCCAGCATGAGTTCTGTTCAATATTTGCCCAGAGCTGGGTTGCCAAATAACCCAAGTTGGGTTGTTTTTAACCCAGCATTTTTTAAGAGTGTATAAGCCACTCTTGCTGTGTGCTTAGGCTCACTGTCCTGTTGGAAGGTGAACCTTCTGCCCAGTGAGTTTCTGAAAGCTCTGGACTAGGTTTTCATTGAGGCCATCTCTATATTTTAGTGCATTGAGCTTTTCTTCTACTCTGATGTGTCCCTCGGTCCCTGCCGCTGAAGAACAGGCCCACAGCATGAGGCTGCTACCAGCACACTTTACTGCTGGGATGCTACTCTGCAGGTGATGAGCAGAGCTGGTTTCCTTCAAACATAATGCTTAGAATTGAGGTTCATCAGACCAGGGAATCTTGTTGCTCACAGTCTGAGGGTCCCTTAGGTGCTTTTTTTGCAAATTCCAAGTGTGTTTTCATGTGCCTTAACTGAGGAGAGGATTGAGTCTTGCCACACCGCCATAAATCCCAGATCGGTGCAGTGTTGCAGTGATGTTTGTCCTTCTGTAGGTTTCTCCTGTATCCACATATGATCATGGAGCTCAACTAGACTGACCATTAGCTTCTTGGTCACCAGTCTATAGACAAGGCCCTTCTCAATCAATTTCTCAGTTTGGCCAGGAGGCCAGCTCTTGGAAGAGTCCTGGTTGTTTCAAACTTTTTCCAGGAGGAGGAGTAAGAAAGACTACATGCTTCTGTGAACCTTCAATGCAGCAGATTTTTTTTTCGGAACTCCTCCCCAGATGTGTGCCTCAAACACAATCCTGTCTCTGAGCTATACAGGCATTTTTTTTTTTTTTACCTTCAGGGCTTGGTCTTTGCTCTAAAGTCCAGTACACACCAATCCGACGCCGACGAACTAGTGGCGATGAAAGCAGGTCGGCTCACGTCGGCAGCGTCTGGGTCCAAAGTTGCCCTGACACACCAAGCCGACGCTCGACACCCGACGACCAAGTGGCACGTCCGTTCTGCGCTTTTCTCGTACACTGGTTTGCCAGCTGAACAGCCAATCAGAATGATCAGATGGCTGGACTGACCGACGAGCTCCGACTCCGACTTGAATTTGCCACAGGTTAACTTCACTCGAAGTGTAGTAACATCTGCAAGCAATATGAATTCTCCTGAGCTAATTTTCAACTGTCCCAGTTTAGGGCTGTGCGATATGATGATATATATTGGATGGACGAAATAAACAATAGAGCATAATATGAAACAATATACTTTTTATTTTGTGGTGTTGCAAAATACATTGTTTACGGTAATACTTTTTAATCATTTGGATGACTGCAATCTTACATGCCACCATGGGACATGAAGGGGAGACAGAACCAGGTGGAGAACGACCAGCCAGGACAAAACAAGGAGCTCGTTCCTAAATGAGGGACTAGGCTACATCTGTAGCATGGACATGCATTTTTAAGCACTGCAGTTTTAAAACAACCGATTTTAAGCCCTTGAAACACAAACAACAGAGCTATATGCATGCGTCATCTATGTTTCTGTGTGAGAGGAGCGCGCATTTTTTTGCTGCTTTATTGGCTTTGAACGATTACATAAACACACTTATATTTCTGTCATGACAACTCTCGGAGGGATTGGCATGGTAATGTACATGACAATGTTAATGTATTTGGTCTTGGCGAAATAGATCTGCTAGACTGCTGCTACGGCAGAGCAAGTACCGAGACTTGCTACTGCCAATACATCCACAACATGCTGCTGTGAGCATGTAGGAAATACTGCTGCTGCACAAATAACAACATATGAATAACCCCCCCAACAAAGCAGGAGACACAGAACACAATACAATACAAGCCAATATATGCATACCGCTGAATAGAAGGATAGACTGCTGCATCAGTGGACATACATGCATCCGCACACATGAAGATGAACAGACAAGGAAAGACAAGACACCCCCCAACAAAGCAGCTCTATCGCCAAGACATATGTACTGCTGCTGCTCCGAAGAGCCATGAGAACTGCACGTATTACTATCTATGTGAGCCTTGGCTACCACGCTGACCGGCTTAACACTAGTAGCCTATGACTATGTAAGCCTTGGCTACCATGCCGACTGGCTTAACAATAGTGGCCTACAACTATGTGTGCTTGGGCTACCACGCCGACCGGCTTAACTCTAATTAGACGCGCACTGTGTGTAATGTTAATTAACAAAATGGATATATGTTGCAATCCGATAGATAAGACCCCAGCATCCACCTGAGCAAATATCATAATTTAGTCATTTGATATCTGCTGTTATTTTCTACACTTCATCAGTCCCAGTGGCAGAGTAACAGCTGGTTAATTCATGTTCGTGCGATGAGACGGACCAAGTTAGCTGATGCATGCCATTTACTCTCTGGTGTAGATAAAAGTTATCAAGGTTACAGTGCACAAAAACCCCTGAGTGGACTGACCTAACTGAACTGAAATAAAAGCAGAATATAAACGTTCTTTTTCCGTTTCCTGAACTACACAGCACAGCTAGAGCATACGTCAACGAGCACATTTCTCCAAACTACACTACCCATAATGCATTTAATTCAGGTTTACATCAACCATAGATAGTGATCTTAGCAATAACTCTAAAATCCCTTCTTTCCGCAACACTGTCACTGATATGACTGCAATAAGCGCCTGCTTCTGACGCTGCGTGCAGCTGAAATCAGCCACACACTCATCACGATGAAAACATTGACCTTAGAAAAACGAACGTGAACATTGAGATTACGCCGATGTATATGGTGAACCCCAGTTGAAATGCATACACAAGAATGCTTATTTTGTTTAACCTGTTTCATGTCCATTACCTTTGGCGTGACCTCAGAGCGATTACATGCTTTAAACTGCCTTTGGTCCAGCTGTATAACACAGATGCTAAATGCTGCTGCTAATATGCTTAATATTTTACTGATGCATACAATGCAAACTGCTAACATGACACTTAGTTTAAACTTGTTTATGGTTGCTCGTTTTTTTATTCAGTTAGGCAGACCATGCAAATATACACAGCAATATGGATTAAAAGAGCATTCACTTATCTTAGATGTTGATTTCAGCTGTTCTGAAGTGCGCTGCCAACTTCTACAGCAAACAAAAGCCAGGTATTTGAATATTGAGCAGTGAGCTCATTGGCTACTGATACAGGAGAGAACCAATCAGCTGTGCCATGTAATAATGATGTCATTAGGTCAGATTGAGTTAGACCTATCAGACTGCGCCATCTAGAGTTTCATGCCAGAACTCTGTATGTGTCAGAATCCCCTTATTTGCAAGTATCCTCATAAACACAGTGATTTAGTCTTTAAGAGTGAGAAAAGAGCTGAAAAAGAAAACGCATATGTAACAGTATATTGGATCCAGACTACAGTCTTAAACGGGAAGCTGTCCAAATGTTCGTTCTGTCTGCCATTCATATTAATCAAACAACAGTGAGAGAAAATCTCTCACTGCTTTTGACTAAATCACTCTGGTAAATTTAATAGGAAGAAATGCAAATAATAATAAGAATAATTAAATTGAAGTTTATTTGTATAGCACTTTTTACGATACAAATCGTTGCAAAGCAACTTTATAGAAAATTAAGTTTATACAATATTTAGTGGTAGCTTATCAGTGGTGACTGTCAGTTTATGTACATATGGCAGAAATGTACGGAAAAATCAATTAAAGACGTAATCAAACAGACGATGAACACTATTAACAGCAATTATTATATGATGCAATCAAACTTATAGCAAAATGTGGTAGTTCTGTATGTTGTTTCAGGGTTGGCATCATCTGAGGTCCTCTGAGGGGTTGGCATCATCTCTTCTCAGGTGTTCTGGATCCAGACTGAATATAATATAATATAATATAATATAGAACCCATACATAATGCACATGCTAATTATATCTATCTATCTATCTAGCGATAGATAGATAGATAGATAGATAGATAGATAGATAGATATAATCAGCACAGTGAAGACTAATTAATTTACACAATGTATGTAGCGTTTCTTATTTATTGTAGTTTTTTGTCCTATTGCTTGCAATTAGTTTCTTATCCTTATTTCATCACTAATCTTCAGTGAGCTTGAGGTCTTTTTTTGTCTCTATTTAGGCTTGTATTAGTTTGATATTAACATTGGTGACAAGGATTATGACATTTCTATGGTATTAAAGAATTCAATACCATAAAAAACCTTTTTAAAAGAAAAAATAAATATATCGTGATATATCATTATCGTGATATAAAACTAGTCATATTGTGATATAAGATTTTGATCATATTGCCCACCCCTATCCCAGATAAGGGTATAATTACTTATGAAATTGAATAATTTAAGCTTTTTATTTAAAAAAAAAATTGCAAAGACGTTAAAACCCTGTTTTTTTTTTCTTTTTGCTTTGCCATTATGATGTATGGAGTGTAGATTGATGTGGGAAAAAAAGTAATTGAAAGCAGTTTAACATAAGGCAGCAACATAAAACGTGAAAAAAATGAAGGGATAGGAATACTTTCGCAGGGCACAGTATAATGATGATGTCAACCTACTTAATTACAATAACAAGTGTGGCTTTATACTTTAATTGAGTTATGTTTTGTATTCAGTGTCACATTATCTGATAAAATATCTCCTGTAAGTTCAAATACATCTTGTATAGTCTTAGCTGCTGTATTTTTTATTTTTGTTTGTTTTTAATGTTATTGGACTCATGCAACATTTGCAACTCAGTTCTTGCCATAAATATAGCCTCAGCTGCTGAAATGATATTAAAATCTATACTGCTGCTACTCAACCTCTTCCTGTAAATTCAAACACACTCTTTCAGCCATATGTCACTTTGTAAATACTTCAGCGAATTCTCATAATTGGTATCTGTTTTTGTTTCAGGATCTGTGAATGAGTCGGTTTGTTGTTGTGCTCTTTATTTTCTGAGGCCTCTCTTGTTGCTCTGGGCGGCTCCATATATTAGTAACTTTACAGGTATGATTCATTTGATTTTGAATGTTCAGACATTACTTAATCTTTGCGTGAGTGATTTATCAAAAGAAAGTTGATTAACTTTTATTTAAAATTGTTTTAGTGTTTCAGCTTGTTGATGTTGTGAGTGATATTGTGATTGTAATCAATAGATATTTTCTGTTTTACAGGTGACATTAAAACATTGATTCTGAAATACAGTTATGTGGCAGAATATGTTGTTCTCTCAGTTGTTTATTCAGGTAAATAACCATCATTATCACAAACACATTAAAGTGCACAACAGAAAAAAAAAAAAAAAAAAATGTGCTTATCAGAATCTGAATACCATTTCTTTAATATTCTGTAGCAACTCTGGAAAAAAAAAAAAAAAAAAAAAAAAAACTCGACATAACCAGCACACATAACCAGTGTTGGGCATGTTACTTAAAAAAAAAAAAAAAAAGTAATTAGTTATAGTTACTTCTCACTAGTAACTGAGTTACATCATTATAAATGTAACCGATTACCAGGGAAAGTAACTGTTACTTAAAAAAAAAAACAATAACTCAAATAACTATATCAAATAAATATTTGTCAAATAACTTGGGATGCCCCCAATATTAAATATGTTAAATGTATGAAATGGACACTAAATAGAATAAATTATTATTATAAAACATTGTACACTAATCTACGCTATTTTAATGTTGTTGTGGGCCAATGTGATATACACCTATCAAATTCAATATATTATTGTAAATAGTATCAACCCTCTACGGACACCTTGGCAATAGAATCACCATTGGCTAGTACATTTTTTTGTTTACTCACCAGACTAATATTAATGATCTGATATACTATTATATGTATATATATATATATATACCTTATGTTTGTAAAATGGCACAGTTTTTTAAATATCTGACACTTGGCATCAGTCAGACAAGCATTATAACTGGATAGTATGATAATTTAGCATTATATGATGATATAACTTTAGTAATTAGAATAGCCATGCATGAATGCATATTTGTCATGTTGACTGAACTTAGGACTGGTGGTGCTGCTTAAGATATTTTTTGTCATTTAGTGTTTCTATTAAAAAAAGGAAAAAAAAACTAAAAATAATTCTGATAAGATAACAAAACTACTACAAATTATACTACTAATAACAATATAAAACGCACTAAGGATTAAAGAGCTGCTGGGTTCATTAATATTAATCACGTTGTCTTCGTCTGCTTGAACTGATTTGCTGAAATCAAAACAGATGATGATAGGTGAGCGCCAGCAAATAAGATTGTCATTTGCGCATTAGTTCCGCCCCGCTACCAGAGAACCAGGCAGTTCTTAAAAGCTGAAGAATTCCAAAGGAACTCAAAACACAAAAAACACAACAAAGAATATTGTTTACATGTAGCGCGTCAATTCTGCATGTTATGTAAGACTCGCTCTGTATCTTTCTTTGCGTGTTTGTGAGAGACAAAGCGACGGTGAGTCGTACGCCTTCACACTAGAGTTTACGGTATGTCAAATACAGGTGCGCTGCGCATCCATTCAGATGAACTGAGAAATAAAATTATAATAATATAATAAATTAAAATAACGCCACATTTTATTGTCAGTAACGGTAACGGCGTTGTAACGGGGGGAAACAGTAATTAGTTTGATTACTCGTTACTGAAAAAAATAACGCCGTTAATAACGCCGTTTATTTATAACGCCGTTATTCCCACTGATCATAACATGCAGAAACATTAAGCAGGTCTACATGATACATGGCTTATGTTAGTATGAAAGATCCTTCATGTGTTCAGTGCTGAATGTTTATAGGACTGAATACATTTTATGATCTCATTTTATGAACAAAATCTGCATTGTTGCACTAAAATACCATTTTGCATAATCTTAACTCAGTTTAAAGCAAACTACCACTAAAGTATTCCTCAGCATGTTTTGAAGCCATGTCACGTCATATCAGCAGCACAAAGGTCACAAAGTCAGTATTAAGAACAGACTTAAAATAAAACACTGAACCTCAGATACAACAGACAGACTGTCAGTGTGAATTATAGTACTGCATGAAGATTTGCAGAAAAGTGTTTTGTAATTCTTACCTGTATTTTGTCTGTGCTTTTATTTTGTACTTTGCTTTATCTCCTTCCTTTTAGCCCTTTTTACAAGTGCTTTGGAAAAACTTATGAATTATGCTGAGTTTGACAGATTTGTGATAATAGTGCTGTTTGTAATAATGTTTCTGAGCTGCCTCTGCAAAATCATTTACCGTAAGTATTTCTGTGTGATTCTTTCCCATAAGTCACAACAAGAGTGAATCAAATGAACATGTTTTTATCAGATTGTGTGACTGATATGACAAACAATTGACATAATCATTATTTTTGGACAAGTCATTGTTTAATTTGTTAACATAGCCGTTTGAGGAAGGAATCAAGAATAAGCGGTATACATATCTATACTTCACACCGGTGTTTGAACATTAGAAGAAACAGATCATATCGATCTTTTGATTAAATATTATATTATAGTTTTTATTAAAAGCATAATTATTTTTTTTATTCTATTTTATTTTATTTATTTTTTGAAGAGGTTGCTGCATGACTTCTTTACTCTTAATAATAATATATATGTTTATATAAAAACTCGTAAAGCTCATCTGCTTTTTCTGTTGATTTTATGGTTTAAAATCTGTGTTGTAATAGGCCTGCTGGAAATATGATGACTCAAAACTGAACAAAATAAGATGTTATTTAATGAAAATGTTTCTCATATAGTTTTAGTTACACAGATTAGAAAGAAAAGTGGACGGATAATTAATGTTTTTGATATTGTGGCTGATATGACTTTTGAAATTCTGCCAACTTTGCAATTCATCCTCCTGTTCTTCACGTTTGGATCTGTCAGAGGAGGTGAGTTCATATTTAGTATGAATTGAGTTCATTTTATTCAGGGTTCAGATCAACACATGTTAATATGTTAATTATTCTACAGCCATTTTAAAACACTCATTATTCACTGAGACTGATGTTCATTATGATCTCCTGCAATTTGGAATCTGTGTATGCCTTATAATATCCAACATTAATATAATTACTCTCCTGTTTTAAGCACTCATCATTGTTACCATTTTACCAGTGTTACTGATGATGACAAATGACACATGGTTTTTTAGATGCTATGATAGACTCGAATGTAAGTATTTGATGAATTCTAATCTGATCTCTGATTACAGTAATTTTCACTATGTTTGACTCTCTGTCTCTTATGGTTTGAGTTTAATGTTCAGGAGAAATTAACTATTTGATTCTTCAGTGATTTGAATCATGATGAGCTGTGATCAGATGTGAGATGATTCTTTGTTTTCTGATCTCTGTTTCTCTTTATTCAGTCAGTTTTAACTCCTGATCAGCTCTATTATGCCAGTATGAAAGTGTTATTAATGAAAACATTTGCACACTCTTGTCTTTTTTCAGGTTCAGATTTAGTAATAAGAACAGTGATGTTAATCTTCATATTAGTGATTAATGCAGTGATGATCGGACTTTACATGACGACACTGGGAAATAAAACAGGTACAATAATATTTGTAACATTGTTTGGAATAATAACACATCACTGAGCAAATATAAATGTATCTGGCAAAGTGTTTTCATGCTGATAACTTGTCATTAAATGTTAGATCAGGTATACAGAAGCTGTCATGTTCACATGTTTAAGTCTGAGCTGCGTTGTTTCCCATTCTCTCTCTTTCCTTACACTGTCCTGTATATTGAATGCAAAATAATAATAATCATATTTTTTTTTAAATCCTTAGAAAACAATGAAGTCAATGAGCGTGTGATGGAAAAGTGATGCTTCTTTCACTCTTTTTAATGTACAGATGCTATTGGATGGGCCTGTGTGTTGCTGTTTCTGCAGATACTCTGGGCCATTATGAAGTTTACTTCATATTTTCTTGATTTTGATGATGGTACAGTATTGATTATCTATCATTTTTCTACTTCAGCATGGTTTAGCTGCATCAGTATTAATACATCCAGTTAAAGACAAGTGGTTCATGATATTAAACACTAGGCGAGTAATATTAAGAAGACTTCATATATCATAGTTTTATGCTATGAAAACATTATTCAACACACACAAACAAACAAACAAATAACAAAATAAATAGTTAATTGATAATACCAATGATGGAACTATAACAGGATTTAAGACTACAATTACACTAGAGCATTTTGTTTTAAAACGCATAACTTTTGCTACGGTTACGCCTGCCGTTTACACTACTCCGGCGTTTCGACCCTTGAAAGCGGAGACTTTTGAAAACGCTGCAGACCCCATTTTAGTTTTCAGTGTAAACGGATCAAAACGGATGCTGCATCCCAATTCGCCTACTTATACTATGCCCTAAAAGTATGTACTCTATTTGTGTAGAAAAAGTACATACTTTTGAGTATGTAGCAGAATAGAAGGCAAGTTTTGGGACATACTACTTCGTCATAGCTGCTTCTTTAACGGACGCTCTGTTGCTTAGTTACGTGCATTCTGTCACTGTTTAAACTGCCCTGTCAATCATCTTATCAAAGCATTATCCATATTTCGTTAAATTTAATTTCCTACTGTATTAGAGAGAAATAAAGAGGCACGATGATCTGCCAGTCGCGGGTCTATCATGCCGAGAACTCTGCTCATGTGTTTGCATAATGATGCATTTAAAAGTTAATGACCAAATGTATCATTATAAAAGTTCACAATGTTGCTGCAGATGAAATATAACGTAGATATAACATTAACTAAATATTTTTTCATCAGGTTAGACATTGATTATTTATCACTCAAACCCCTTTCGCTACCTGTTCTTTGGTCTCGCATATCCACCATGTTTCTATTTTTTAAACACCTTTTATGCATGTTTGCAGTTCTAATCGTATCCTTATCCACCGCGCAATGTGTTGTGGGCAATATTATCCATTAGAGTGTGCATCCATAGATATGTATATGTAGATAGCGAATGTTTCTATGGGCCACTATACGTAAGCCGTCCGCCATATTGTAATGATCAACTTGACGTCATTCACCATAGTGATCACTGAATATTCGAAAAATGCCACAATCCTGCACAGAATGGCTCAACGGTTCTGTGCGAACCTACAGTATGGTGAGTGACGTCAAGTTAGCCATTCCAAGATGGCGGCCGCATCTACGTGCCTGGAGTGGTCGAATGGGGCATCTATGTGTGCATTGATCTGCACTTCAAATTCTAACCGGAAGTAGTAAACCATCTGGGAATATTTGGCATACTTTTTTCAACATACTACAATTTGGGACATACTAATTCTATTTTCTACTAGAAACTAGAGTTTTAATGGCGTTTTAATGCCGGTGTGCTGTATGCGCTCCCATTTTATTGAGATGGAAACTTTTTATAGGTAAGAAACTGCACATTCAGGAGCTGGTTTTCAACCCCCGCCCCGTGAATTTTGAAAATACAACAGCTAAAAGCTAAATATATTTCTCAGCAATGAGGTGATAACTTAACAGTTTTTGTAAATAAACCGACAAGCTTGTTTGCAATGCTTCACAATCGCTCGCTCGCACGTGGGTGCATGCGTTCGTTCATTCGTTCTCTCTCTCCTTAATTCGAATTCATTTCAATAAATATCATCTTTATTTCACTAAAGAATTCTACCTCTAACGAGCTGTAGATAAAATAGTCTAACAAATTAAAATTACCGGTCTTTATCCGTTCAGTCAGATTTTGTGCTGCAAAACATCCATGACAGCCGTTGTCCATGCTGGCAAATAATAATGGCCATTCGATGTGAATTATATAAATAATTTTAAAAGCACGGCCATTTAAAACCCGAGGGTCTACCATGTGCATAGTAAAGCGATCACTGCAGACAATCCTTTTGGGTGGGAATCAATGTAAACACAGATATCGGATACCAGTCGTGTCTAAAGTGAATGTAAACAGACGGAACAAAAAATCGGATATGGTCAAAAGATCGGATCTGTGCATTAAGACTTGCAGTGTAAAAGCAGCCTTAGATATGTATAGGTAAATTCCCCATTCGACCGCTCCAAGCATGTAGACGCGTCTGCAATCTAAATAGACAGGGAATCTACCTATACATATCTATGGTTGTACCTGCACGAATTGTCATGTGACATGCGTCTTCGGTTGTGTAGTGTGGACCGAGTTCGTTTCTGAAATGCAGTGAGGATCATTTTCATTTTAAAATGAAAACACACTAGTGTAAACGGCCTAAGATTATGCTGTAAAGCAGTTCTTATAACTTCAGTGTTGCTAATCTAAAAACTTTGTTTTAGTGGGTTTTAAAGGGGACATCAGATGCAAAATTCACTTTTACATGGTGTTTGAACGTAAATGTGTGTTGGCAGTGTGTGTACACAACCACCCAGTGCTTTATTTTTAAATCCCCACAAATAATAAACACTTTCTCAAATCAAGTCATTCACAGATTCTTGGCAGAGTGACATAGATCAGGCACAGGCCCCTCTCACGACTATTGACGAACACTGCCGTTTCAGCATAGACCCGCCCTGAGAGAGCTGTCATCAATCCACCATTGTTTCGATGTTGCAGCAGATGTAGACAAGAATAACTTCTAAGCGATTGAGGTGTTCTGTTGTTGGATGTAATAATGAACACAGCAGTCGTCATTTACTTCGGACAGCTGAGCCGCTGAAGACGCAGTGGATTATGTTTGTTTTTGAAGGGAATGTGTGCACCGATCTACATAAATGCGTTTATATTCGTGATCCAGCCTCACCTACAGAAGAAGTGAGTATAAGTTTTTTTTTTTTCATGAATCTTTGCAAATCGCTTTTCCTAATAACATGCTAGTTAGCAAGTATCACGATGAATGCTGCTAAAGTTTACAGTCTCTCAGAGAACGGCTGTCACCCCACGGAAGAGAGGGGTGGGGTTAGCAGAGCTCATTAGCATTTAAAGGTACATGCACTGAAACGGCTTGCTGTGAACAGAGCTGTTTTTGACAGGGTAAAAAGGGTGTTTTACACTACCATTGAGAATTTTTAACCAACGTATGTTATAGACTTTTCATGAAGACCCTAAAGAATCATACCAACTTGTGCGGCATTTGATGTCCCCTTTAAACATTTTATGTCACCCAAGGTAAGTTGATGCAATTTTGCATTTGGTTTAAAATATTAAATGTTTAAACTTGCATTACAGTTTTTTGCCGTGTTGTTCCTGTGTACGTGTTTGGATCAGTTGGTGTTGTTTTACTGAACTCTGTTACACTGATGACTGAACTGATAATGAACACAGGTGAGCAAACAAAACACTTTAATATGCAATATTTTATAATTTAATCCATAGAGCTCATAGTAAATATATTTAAACATATTAATAAGACTTTATTTTATTTTAATCAGACTGTTAGGAATTAAATTAATCTGTATTTACCTGGAATAATTGTACTGTAATAATATAGTTAAGATTGCATTAATTTCTCAAAACAGTGAATATCATATTTAAGAAGTAAATGCAACTCGTCTTTTCAGTAAATAGTGATCGCACAGTTGAAGATCTGAGATTCACTGTCTTTCCTTCTGAATGTTTATTTGCCGTATCTGTGCTGATTTCTGGATTATTTCCATCTGGTGAGTATAAAGCACTATTATTTATATTACAAACTATTAGATTATATTAATATCATATGAGCTGGTCTTTTTCTTCTTTTTTTTGTCATTACATTTACATTTAGTCATTTTGCAGACACTTTTATCCAAAGCGACTTACAATTAGTCATTTCTTTTCTTTTTTCATGTGTTCTTTTTTTCTCATTCATTTTTTCCAAGCATCATTCAGTACATAAATAATCTGTCCTTTAGGGGTTTTTTTTGGAAAAACTAAAGAGACTTAGTTTATAGAGAGAGTCTAAAGTCTGATTCATTCACTTATTTAATTCACAGACTGTGGTGTGTTTGTGTGTTGATTTTCTGTAAAACTCAGAATACACTCAATAATCTTCTAATAATCTGCTATCTTTGTCACAACCCTTAAACATCAACCTAGACCATTTGAATGCTGAAATCCTAAAAGCATCTGCTGAGTGTCATGAGAACTGCTCACAATGAACATGAACAAATCTTTATATTTATTGACTCCCTGTTTCATTCAGATCATTGATAGAACTATATCAGGGATCTTTAGATGTCAGCAATTATATTAAAAGTTTTCAAGTTGAAATGGGTTGAACTATTTTACACTGTCTTATACATAAAATACTCAGAGAATATCCCTGATGATACATTCAGAAAGATCCATGCGACAGTAGTTTATTGATATTATAAGTTACTGAAGTCATTAAGGTGAATAAGTAGTTATTGAATTTAATTTTCACAGACACTGATTAGAGTCAACACATCCATTAATATATTTTCTCCCCAATTTTTGACATAACAGGTGTTGCAAAGTGTCTGCAGTTTTGTCAGGTTAGTATCATTATAAACCATATTGAGTTGTGATCCAATGACCTGCAACATCAGGAGACGTTTCACTTATGAAAGATCCTCATGCTTTTGAAGAATCTTGTAATATGTATTGTTCCGTTTGCATCTGTTTCCCTAAATGCAGAACAAAGAGAAATCCAGACAAACTCCAGCGGACAGATCACAGCAGATCCAGAGCTCTCAGGAATCAAATAAAAGGAAACATCCGATGGCTGAATATCAGAAGGAAAATCAGCCTAATTCAGTGGAATCACAAACATGATCAGCAAAGAGAAAAAGAAGAAAAATATTTCAGATACATCTCATGCATACACTTTACAAATTAAATATATAACTATAGAGAGAGAGAGTAATGTACTCTGACATTAATTAAGCTGAGATTGATATAATGACATTATTAATTATTAATGTAAATAGTTTTGTACTGTGAGCCCTGAGTTTTGTAGCTTTTTTATTTTTAATTTTTTTGTTTATTTTAAAAAGCTGTAAATGCATGTTTAAGAATGGTTTCCCACCCACTGCCACTTATACCAACGACGGAGATAAGCGCAGTTAGAATAGCTAAATATGTGGGAGAGCATTGCTATTGAGTGACTATTGTATTGCGATAGGTAACACTTTAATATTAACCTTGAATCAAGACTAGTTAGCACATAATTAATAATTGAAATGGTTTAATAACAGAATTGTGTTATGGTTACACTTGAATTGGTTACAAAATAGATGAAGGATGGTAAAACATAACCAGTTAATTGTACCCAGCATATATGTAAGATATTACCTGCACTTAGGGCAAGTTATTTATTTTTCATTGGCTCAAGTTAAAAAATATAGATGTGAATCATTACCCTATTTTTTTAATTGGATGAATGAAACATTTTTTTCAGTGTGAGTTAAGAGAAAGGGAGAAAAAGAGGCAGAAAATCAGAGCCTCAAGAAGAGAGCCCCAGCAAAGAAAAAGTTAGCAAAGAAAAGAGACAAAGCAACAGTTACAGTCTTCTTTTATGCCTTCCTTGACCATGTGAGTAAAAACCAAATGTAACCAAAACTGACCAATCAGCAGATTACAGCTTCACCCACTGTGCAAAAGCTGTGACAATTAGCAGACCCCCGATGTATACACATGTTGGCCTACAGGCCTTGATCACTATCAGCACTTCTGTGCCTTCAGAAATGCCAAATGGCCCTTTTGTTACTGAAGATAGGTTTGGGACAGGAAAGCATAAGTCTTTGATAATTTTTGACCCTACACATGCAGGATGTATTTTTTTGAGTCTTAACATTTTTATTTTGTATTTATGTGATGTTGATTTTTTAACATAAATAAATAAATACATTCTATCTGTAAGCCAACTTCAGTGTAAATAAATCTGAAACCTGAACCCACCAGAAACAGAGACTTAATATTTAAATCTTCAGATCTTCAGATATATGGAAGCATATGGGTAGCAAAATTAATTTTGAAACGTAATATGCAAAATGCCAATGCAATAGGTAAAATGACAATGTATTTGCAATGTATAATGCAAAATTATAATTTAAATGCTATTTTTCCTAAATGCATTTAGACTTGCGGGTAGGACACTTGGGATAGCAAATTGTATTATCAGCATAACAATTTGAGTAAATGTGTAAAAGGTAGGGGTTGATGCCATCCTTCTAGAACAATGTGTATCTATGTTGAAATTGTAACACAAATTATGTTTAGTGATTTTCATTTCTTTATTGCAAAATGCTAAAACTGGCACTGTTTTGTAGAGAAATTGGCTCTTTTTCATCTCTAATTTTAACACATATTATGGTGTGTGATGCTGAACTCTCGTATGAGTTTCTAATGGTTTTTTTGTATTCATTGTACTGTTCTAAATGTTCATATTTTGTGCAAGAGTAGCATGCTCTGTCTCAGTGGTCTCAAACTAGTACCTCATAAATAAGTGCTAGTATTTTTTAGCAGCTAAAAAAAAAAAAACTAAGGGTTACACTTTATTTTAAGGTGTCCTTATTACAGTGCAATTATACATTTAAATACTGAGTAATATTAATTATCTACATGTACTTACTATATGGTTAGGGTCAGTGGTGTATTGTAACGAAGTAATAATACTTCGTAACAGTATTTTTGGGAGTATTTGTGTACAGTATATCTTCTGCGATAATATGGTATATGATAATATGATATAAATCTATATCACACAAAGAGTACAGTTTTTCTGCAGATATCAGCATGATAACACATTTAATAATCATTTTATACAAGTTCAGTAAAGCAATAAGTGACTTACATTTTAGACATAATATTGCTTGTTTTTGCTCAATTTTGCCAACGAAAATAGTTCCAAACATAGATTACACAGCAGTGTTTCACAGCGTCTCTGAGCAATGGACGGTGTTTGTTTACTTATTGAATGAATCAGCTTTTTGGACGAATCGGTTGAATAAATGGTTCAGTGATTCACTCATTAACACAGTCAAATGCTTTGTTCCTGAATGAATCAGTCGTTTGAATGAATCGGTTGAATCTCAATGACTCACTCATTAACAGTCACTTGCTGCCACCTACTGTCCATTTTAATTTCACATTTCTACTATTTTTTAATGTTTTAAATTATTTCAAATATCAGTATTCAACGTTTTATGTTAAAAACAAAACATTAGGCCTATTTATGCATCTGTAACTGCAGGTTAAATGCATCCATGTCCGCTCTGAGCTACATTAAACTGTGTAAATACATCTAAATGCTATTTCAGATGCAGATTCCAGACATGTTTTCTTATGTTGGAATGAAAGACACTAAGTACCGGATGAAGTGCTTCTTATTCTTACCCAAAAATACAAAATGGAAGAAAGAGTTAAAACTGAACACAATCTTGCTACTCAAGCTGTGTATGAACATTTTTTATATATATTTATTTGCTTCTTTTCCATTTTGCATTTACTTGTACTTTTACTTTCAATACTTAAGTACGTTTAAGATTTTAAAAATACTTTTCGTACTTAAGTACAATAAATATCACATACTTTAAGACTTTTACTCGAGTAATATTCTAAATGGTGGCTTCAACTTCTACCAAGGTCGTTTTCTGGTAAAATATCTGTACTTTTACTGGAGTATGGCTTTCAGGTACTTTATACACCACTGGTTAGGATTAGGGTTTGCCTTAGGGTTATTTTCATGTAATTGTGCATAAGTTATTGTTATTATAGTAGTAAGTACACGTGTAACATGTGTGACAAGGACACCTTAAAATAAAGTGTTACCAAAATAAGTGCTAGTACATTTTTAAACTGCTTGCCATGGATGGACTCATAAAAGAACAGCAGATGGAGCTGTTACTCAAGAAAACACAGATGATTGTGACTTCAGTTAGAGGAAGATGAGAAACATTACTGACTCATGATACAGGACTTATTCATATGAATCACGTGAATATAAATTTGATAATCAATGATTACAATGGAGTTAAATAATAAAATATATAATATAAAATACATAAATAATTTCAAATTATTTATTTTCTTTACATTTAAATGTTAATGACAGTGCTGTGTGTATAAACCAAATGTTTATTTTCACAGGTGCATTTATTGAATAGAAGTTAAATAAATTAGCTAGGGTTAGTAACTATACATAAACAGAAAATGATAGTGTTTTTGACACCAAATATGTTTTTCCCTCAATGAAAATGAAAGTATCATATTCAAAGTTTGTCCTGTTCTGCCAGTCATGACATTTACTTACATAGTTTCCTTGCGTGAGACTGAACAACAAGCTTTCTAGACATAATTCATATTTGTGCAGCCTTAGTTCCTCAAAACTAGTTTGTTGAGCATCAGTTAAAAATGTTAACAGGAATGCAGACATATGAGGTTTTTTTTCTTGAGTACTGAAACATGAAAAGATTGATGAAGTGGTTTCAAGTTCTGCAGGAGTTTTTGTCATGTTGATGTTTAAGCATTCGGCCAGGGGAAAATTATTTTTTATGTACTTTTTTTGTGGACGGATATAATCAAAGCAAAGCAACAATACATATCCAACTACAGATGCTCTCAATTTCTACTGTTCTAAAAAATTATCCAATGATTTATAAGATCTCCTTACTCAAGATTGCATCTGTATGCAATATTAGCATATCTGTAGTAGTTTCTGTTTTTTTTTTTTTTTTAAAGAAACAATGTTTATAAATGGAATAATTCAGT